TTACGATAGTCGGATGTCCGTCCCATTCGCGCAAAATCGCCACCACTTTCTAACGCCATTTACATATTCCGTCCTTTTCCCAAAATATTGCTGTCTCTTCCTAATGCCGTACGTTCGCTTTGCGCAACATCAATGTCTCTGTCTAATGCCGTCTGTACTGACGACGATACGGTGTGACACAAACGGACGGCAGTGCTGTAGAAGGAGGATCTGGAAGAAGACTATATCTAATCGTTCATATTCCGGGTGTTATATTTTAACTAGTGGTATACTGATTACCATAAATATTGCAAGAAACGCGACTATTATTAACAGCATTGCATTTTATGGAAATGTTTCTGCGACAAATACATTCTACATAAGTATGACTGACACGTATGAATTATGTAAGTTGGAACAGGATTACATTTATTAATACGTTTATGTTACTCTGCGTAATACAGCAGATTGAGTGTGCGTATAGCTGTAAAACTAACTTTAATTGTAAAGATCATCGCGTAATTTCTCAAATTCGATCGGTATATAGGTTATTTAAAAGGAATTCGAATGAATTATCGTTTCTCATTAATTCTATACCCCGCCAATACCCCATCCTTATCGTTATCATATCGTAAACTAGAATAAGTAAAAGGTGAAAAATTCAGAAAAATTGCCACCTCCTGTCTCGACGTGTCCTCCTGATACAAAATCGCGAAATCCGACCAAATTATCACGATTTCGGTTCCGAAAAATTCCAATAATCGCTAGAATCGCACCACCTCCTGTTCCGTCATGTCCTACTGATACAAAATCGCAAACACAGAGCAAATTTCCAGGAATTCCCCGGAGCCAAAATCGTGAAAAATTGGTTCGATTTTTCGACTTAATCAAGATCTACGATTTGTTCTAAAATTTACCATTTTACGAGATTAATTTACATGCGCACGAATTAATTTATTCTTTAATTGCTCGCACATGGAATTTTTGCTCTTATTTTATTTAGAAATAAAATGTTGATCGAGCGAATGTTCTATGTGACGCAGTTAACCTCGATACATTTCTAATTATGTATTGTGTAACTAATTTATGCACTTTTATACATGTCGAGATACACATTTTAGAATAATCAACGATGATAATTACAAATACGCTGAAATTGCTTTTTCTGAAACTTACAATTTAAGACATGGGTCTTATCATGTATCCACCACGTAACCAATTTATACGTAAACAGAATTACTTAACTGCTAGATAATGTAAATTCATATATTGCGAACAATTGAGGATAGCATCTACCAGCTAATCTTTTTGCAGTTCAAACGTTGTACGGTATTCTACGCTTCGCAAATTTCACGTAAATAATTTGAGAACCACTGCAATCTTTCCTCTATTTTAAATCTAATCGTAATTCCTTCGTCTTAAAAGCTATATCAAGTTTGAGCGAAATACGAAAGAATGAGAAGTCTCGAACGCATTAAAACACCTTGAAAATAGGAGCAAGACTAAGATATAGAAGTTCGACGATCTTTAAATTCATATAAGAAACTATTTATAACCGATTCAATCGCAGATTAAATTTATATGAAACCGGTTGTTAAATATATCTAGATATTTATGCTTTCATATTTAATAAAATAATATGTAAAATAAGGTGACTCGAATCTCGTGGAAAAAGTATAAATCTTCGACTTACGAAAGTGCCGACTTGTCAAGGTTTTCGAGTAAAATGGATTTAACGAGCGAACATTCGACATACAGGTGCTTTTTACATGCGTCAGGTTTTTCGATTTACATTCGAATCATATTTGACTTGTATTTGTCTTATATTCGCAATTATGCATATACGCTTTTGACATGATCGACGAAAAACAATCGATTTACACCGGAAGAGGAAAGGCGCGAGAAAAAACACGACAAATTGTGCACGACGATTTATAGACATATAGGTACACTTGGTCTGTGGAGGTCCAGTTTCTTTGAATTCGAGTTACAGAGGTAAAATAACGCGTCCAAACGCGGGCAAACTGATTCGAGCTAGAGGAAAATTGTATTTCCATCTGAAGAGATTTTTACAACGTAGCGGAAAAGAACGAACGAAATTCTAGTCTTGTAAAAGTTTTCCAATTGTTGAGATTCGAACATCGTTTAATTATTTACTTATCGCAGAAAGTTGATATTAGAAAGCCTAGTAACGACTAATTGTAGCAGACTTTTAAAGTTAAAGTAATAAAAAGAATCGTTTGTGTTAGGTTACGTAACACGTGAAACATAATTGCCTTAATTGTAATCTTGATATGTGCCTGTAAGGCGAGTGACACAGTATTACGTAATATGTACATCTATCTGTAACAAGTCACGGGAATATGTAGACGTTCCAACGTTACGATAAAATGCAAAACTTAAGAACTCGTAGATTATGAAAATATCGATTAATTAAACATTTTGAAGGTGGTCCCTGCTGAGAAAAATGAAAAAATAAGAATAGAAATTGAAAGAAATTAGTTATATTTTTATTCGAGAGTTTTTCTTCCATTTTCTTCTTCGATGAAAATACGAGATAATCTAGTAATTACATCTCGCATGAATGCGATATTTTATTAGTTGATTCATAGTTATGTTCTAGTTATGTATGCAATTATCACATTTTACACGATATTATATGATAACAGGATATATCGTAACGCGATACTTACGAACAGATGTGCACACACGAGGAAAAATACGGCAGAAGATAAAAATTATGTATTCACCCGATGTATTCACCCATGACCTCATACATATTTGAAGCATTTATACTTATGCGATCCTTAACGTTAGCTCTGGGCAAGTTCGTTTCAGTCCTGGTCGAGTTCAGGGTCGTGAAGTGAAGAAAGAAACATTCACGGAACTGGTTTTACTAACAAAAAAGATTATAGGAGTACATTTCAACATTATCGTGAAAGTGACTTAAATATTGATCCTGAATGACGCAAAGATGAGTTGATAATTTATTTAATTGTCCTTGTCATATGTCGATTGGAATATCTTGTATATTTAGGATCTCTACGTAATTTGATTTATTGATTATCCTTTTACTTAATGAAGATAAACGCGATCGATTCTAAGTTATGGCTATTTCGCAAAGGAAAAATATTATCTCTCGTAATAAGTTGTTGGAGAGATCTTTAATTAATTTCAACCGTTGGCGAGCACACGAACAAATACGAGTTTTCGGATATATATTGAATTAAAACGCTATGTATTCCTTGAATGCTTATTACAGAGATTTATAAATACTTCGTTCCACAGCGGTATAATAGCATCAAAGATTTTGTTAATTCTGAATTTAAGATCTATACAAGAAGAATTAACGATATTAGAACGCGATCTAGCCGCAGAAAATTTCACGCAATGTCCAAATGAAATCGGTCACGGTAATTTTTGTATTGCACGTTATCGTAAATAATTCGTTAAAGGAATATACATTTCATATTAATGCGGTATTAATATGGGAACAAACGTTTCTACTTACGATGCGGATATCACCTATAACATTTACTTTCATTTAAGTAAAATATTTATTTCTTAATATATACGATTCTTAAATTTCGCAGCATTTTGTTTTAAAAAAAGAATATCCATTGACATTTGTGGATATTTATATACATAATCGTCACTATACGGTACGCATAATTTTTGAATATCTATGACCATGATGGAAAAAGATCGAACTTAAATAAAATGCACATTTGTTTGCTAATATTACGTTTTAATCTTAGGAAAGATCTTGCTCGATAAAATGAAAATTGTGGAATTTAATTTGTTTTCGAATCCAGAGACCTTGGATAAATTAAAACATAGAACCGGTTCTAAAAGATTACTGTATCTTTACGACAATAAATTATTCGTGATATATGCATCTTGCAGGAGAAATAATTTTCATGCGACGAATAAATCCTTGTTTACTTCCTATCTACAAAAAATATCCTTTTATCAAGTTTTACATTCTTTTCATAAAATTAATTTTTCATAGGAAAGTGGATGATACCAGTAGTACGTAAAGTTTGGTCAATGTCTATTCACTAACTTAATCGAAATAGAGTAATATGTTGATTTTGCAAGCACAATGAGTCAACGGTTATCTTAGGAGTGTGAATGCACAGAAGCGTCGAAATTATAATAAAAATGCACTTGAACGCGTCTCGTATTCTGAAATTATGTATCGATACTGTCACGTGTATATTAGATTTATGTATCGTAAAGTTATATAGTTGTAACGATGCTATAACAAAGTTCGTGTTACAGCGAACATTATAGCAATTAAGGATAAAGCGTTGATCCATCCGATCAGCTTTCACACGAAGTTGTAATTTGTACATGCGTTACGTTTTCCTCCGTCTTTCGAAATCTATTAGTATTGTAGCTGATATAATGGCATTCGTACAAACTGGTAAACTTAATGATAGATTTCCTGCCTGACGGAAAAGATAAGTAAACGATTGATTTCTCACTGCAGCAGCATCTACGAGTTCAGTAAATTACTTGGCTCTAAATATGGCTCGTATCAATGTCAAGAACGTCATAACAAAATCTCAGTAAGTTTTTTCTATACGCATAACTCTCGATCCGGATCAGACAACGAATTTTTTTTATCGTACAAATAACAAAGAAGAAACGAACGACTTATAGGTTGGATTAGATTCGTATTTGACTGCCATTAGATATGAAATAATTTTCCACGAATCGATCGATCTATCGAATATTGCTGTTTTGCCATAGAGGATTAACACAGTTACGACGCACGAAACGTAATAAACAAACTCTGGACAAAAGCAATATCGCTACAATCGTCAATCGGAGTGAAGTTCAAACCTTCCGGTACCCCCCCTCCCCCTCCCCCGACCAGTATAAATAGACGACCATGCTCTCGAGACAGTCGTCGAGATTATCAGTCGAAGAAATAAGTATAGCGAATCAGTCTAGCGAATCAGCGTAACAATTAGTATCAGTATCGAGAATCCTTGTAACGAATAGCATCGAGCGGGCAACGCTTACGATTAACTCTGTATTCTACATTTAAAACTACTTGTAAATACATTCGACGAAATCAATTTGTCTCGTCGTTCCTTTGATCGACCAACGCGTCTCACCGTCCACCGCGTTGCGTTTTATTCTGATCCTCGATTGATAATAAACGTAACAAAAAAGAACACAGCGCAAAAATGTTTCTAGAGGAAGAGATCTTTAAACGAATGGTTATGGAATACATACGGCGTACATATGATTATGGCATCGAAATCGGTGAGATGTTTCCTACTTTGTATAACCACTGGAGATCAAGCATTTTCAAGCTACACGCATCTCGTCGTTGAATACATCTATCGTTCGCTTCCTACAGCTACTCGTAAATATATTTCCATGTTTACTATGGAAACCTTTTATAAATATATTGTCCGTGTTATACGAAACTCTTCTAAGATATTGCGCTGGCCTTAAACGTATGTATAACGAATACCACGAAATACGAAATGGTCTCGATAAATTTCGGAATAACAAATATATATAAGATTTCTATGAAAATTATGGAATCGGTTTTTTCCACGATTTACCAGTGTTAAGAATCATCTCGTAAGTGTTAAAAAATATACACGTAATTTCGAAAATCGCTTCTTTCAGAACGGACGTACGTTTCGATCGTCAATTGCACAACTTTCTCAACTCAAACAATCAAATTATTATGGACGTTTTACTTATCTTGTAAATGTAGAAAAATCAAAATTCTTTGACCCCGATCTGGCTCTTGATCTTTCCACTCAATTTCACTCTTGTTCGAAAGAAAAGAAGACTTTTAATGTATTGATCATTAATCTTATGGTTCAATTCGCGAAACGGCGCAATCGGTTCCAACGTCGCTCATTTTACATTTACCACAGTCTGGCTCGTAAAATATATCGCGAGCCTCGTTGGAATTCCTTATTTTTGGCTCGCAAAATATATCACGACCTTGACTCGTGTTTACATGTTTGGCCCGTAAAAGCTTTGCAAAACCTGTATTTGAAAGGATATCGCAAGGGAAAGAGTTCAGGAAACTCCTGGAATGAAGATAGAACGACAAGTTATGTCCATCAATAACAATTACGATATATCTGCTTCTTCGATTTAAGGAATTTCTGAAGGAAAGAACAGACATAGAAAATAGTCGAAATACTTCGAAATTTAATCAATTTACAATTTCGCCTTCCTTTTGCCAGAAAGCTTTTCCGCGTTTATTCGTTATCATCTGGCTGTTTAAACGTTTTTGTGATCTCTGCAAGATATGCGTTTAATAGGATTTAATATGACCGCGATAATCGAGTCTTCGCAACGGTGCTAATGAAATTTCAAAATTCACAATATTTGGCGATAATTGCATGTAATACACATGCATGTTCATCAAATACACATATCTATAAGTGTTTGAATATCTTAACCCTATCAAAATTGCCAAGAGACACAGAGAATGCCAGAGAATGAGTTTTCAATGGGAAACAAATACATTGCTATGTATATCACTGGAGAGTACCGAAGAAACTAGAGAAACGGAAGGAAGAAGAGTGGCGACAAACCGGAGAAGCTGTATGCACGTCGGAACTGGTTCCGCGGACCGATGGATCGTGGAAGCAACCAGAGAAACATGTTAGAAGGGCGAATAGCGAGCGGGGCGTATTAACGCGATTCCTGCGAGCGTAAGCCGGCGATTCGCATTCTCGTTCGCGCGATGTCCTCGAGCTGGTGCCGCGAGTGAACTCCTCGAGCTGGTGCACGAATAAGTTTTCCGACTCGACCATTCGATCGATACGCGATTATCCGGATCGAAAATCGTTTCAAGAAGAATTTACTCTCGAAGATCGTTTCAGAGACGTTTGAGTGAAATTCCTGCGGCGAGCTCGCGATATCTGGCAAATATCCGACGACGATAATATTCGAGTTTGCTTTCGGTGAGTGATCGATCGATCATGATGTTCGACTGTGTTTGAAAAAGTTTGGTAAAGTTTCCTGCAACTCGAGCCAGTGACTCGATGTGAAAGAGTTGATTTTGTTAGGCACAGAAGTTAAGATTCGTAAGAGTGGCTAAGGTAGAAAGATCAATGAGTGTAATTAGAAGTAATTAGAAGTGATTATCGACTGGAAGCTGTTAAACATATCTGAATGGTATTAATCGGAAAAAATTATCAATACCTTCACCCAGATCTGTATCAATCGAACTAACCGGTTTACTGATCATAGTTGTAAAACAATGCACCGTAGTATATGTATCGTATGTAGATACGAAAGTAGATACGAAAGAGATGTCAAACAGGATGTCAGATAAAGCTTATTCATATTTGACGAAGACTCAAGAGTTTGCGATGGTACGAAAATTCGCAGCTAGTTACGCGAAACAACAAATTTCCATTGATTTAGTGGTTAAATTTGAAATGTTTGTGTTAAAACCAAAGTCTAGGATCAGTTGCGTGAAATAGATTTCGCTTCTGTCGTACGATTCGGTAATTCTACGCGATAAAATATTTTATAGTACTGGTACTGTACGAGTATGTAAAGAATAGCGTCGAATAGAGGTCAATTGGAATTAATAGGATCGATCCTGAGCTCAGTGCGAATAATAGCGTTAAAAAGGCTAATTTATTACATTAACTATATACACTCTGGTAATATAATATAATATATATCAATTACGTGTTTATCGCACGAACTGTTATAAAAGAATTAATCTTGAAAAGTTTCGTGATTTTCAACAAAGTCGATATCCCACTTATGTATGTGTATCTATTGAAGGAATGTATATCGGCACAAAACTAAAGGTATGCATACTTCTTATGACATCACTACATCAAATATTCGATATTCAGATCCAAATAGATACACGTTTCTGTATAAAATACACGTGATACTCTTTATCATCACCATAGCCAAATTTAATAATACGTGTGTATCTTAACCCGATTAAATTAACTTTTAAAACCTGATACGCATATCTCTTCTCCTTTTTTTTTTTTTTTTAATATTATACTAAAAACTTAGTTTTGATGCAACAAAGAAATCTGGATACAATAATTTATATCTAAAGAGTATCATAAGTAAATTAGAAATATTTTTGCATTTTTAACAAGTATTTATAGATATGCAAAAAGTAGAGAAGTAAAGATGCTCTAAAAATATACACGGTAGTATATCGGAAGTAAAATATGTATTTCTATATTTACAAAACGGAACGTTCTTCCGTTCAAGTTTCAATGCATTATTCATGTTTTCTTAAACTACCTATTTACACGACATACCTAGTCTACCGATTGTAATTTACAGGTTTACAAATTGTAAAGAATTTGTAGAAATTACAATGTAGCAGAAAATGTCCGCATACTTTGCAAGTGATAAACCTGTAAAGACTGTAATTTAATTTACACATCTTCCCACGTGAAATAAATCTTTTTATACAGAGAACTTAATTAAAAAATACTCCTGTCCACGTCGTTAAATCCTAAGATAAAGGGAAACGAAAGCGAGGAACATAAAAACGGTGCAAAAAGTATATTAACTATCGCAATTCTTCCAATATTACCAGGAAATTGATATCAAAACGCGTGAAGTAGATACAGCTTATTTGTAACAAAGATTGATCGGTAATTTATCTTCGGTATAAAATTTATATTTCATTAGCAATAGACAAATAATAAGATAATTTCTGTAGTTACTTGTTAGTTGATCTCCTATAGTCTATAATACAAATGCAAGTCGTAATCGATATTAAATAAATTACGCTTTAATAACTGTACGATTTGTGGCCGATTTGCATAGCGATTACGATAATAATTTATGCACAGGTATTAGAAAATATTAACGACGACGTAGAAAAGCAGGATGTTGAATTATTGATTGAGATTTAATTCTAAGCTGCGAAGTAGGTGACTCTACATATGAACATAAGTCAAAATTGCCACTTCTGAATTTTTTAAACCACTTAAAGCACTGTGATTTACCAAGAGCATGCTCACCGTAAGCTTCGACAAGCATTCGATGCGATTCTGCAGCAGTTTTCTTCAAATGGTAACAGAAAATCAATGCTGTCCGCGAATCGTAGTTTCCAGGCACAAAATTTGACATGTTCAACGCTATTACAAACTATGCTGTTGTATGAAACTTGTATTGTTCCGAGTCGAAAATGTTTGCGAGATATCAACAAAGACTTTTGGCATCAATGACGCATTTTAGCGACAACTACATTATCAGTTAGGGCCATCTATAGGCAAATTCCGGTTTCATACTTACAGGCCTGATATGTACGTATGTATCTGTCGTGCTTGAGTAAAGAAGTTATTTTTTCGAGACAGTTCTTGTTTAAAATAGAAGTATACTGAAATTTAAGAAAGATGAAAATAGTATATCGTTAAATAACGTCAATATTTACACGTTGTTTCCTTCGGTGATTACAATTTCGACAATGTTCTCAAACGGAACAAGAAGAAACACGGATAGGCAAGCGAGAGGCTCGAGATAGCGGCGAATCAAAAAGTGATCAGCCGAGTATCGTATAACACGTTAGGATCGCTTATACTAGAACTCAAAATCATTGATGCATATTCTATTAGACCTTTACTAAACGATGTCACAATTCGTTCGACCACAAAAATTTATGGTAACGCTTTTACGGACCTCTTGCTCGTTCTCGGATCTTTCACTTTGTCGGCGAGGCTGTGTTTCTCGTTTATTAAGTAATTGTACGATCATTTTTTCAAAAGTTCTAGTTTCTTCATTTTCCTTAGCGATGAATTTTTCGAAGTAGTTCTTGCAGTCTTAAGTGCAGTCGAAACTATCCTAATTCAATTTACTGTGATGTCGAATGTGTTAGAGTCGATATTTGAAATAGCGATATGGTTGTTTCACAACGCAACGAAGCGATAGATCATCACTAATGACAAAGATAAACGAAACTCGTGCAGAATTTGCTCGTGTATTCCACACGAGCAATAGATGACTCATGATATAATACGTCATCAGAAGTCACGATCACAGTCAAAAATTAAAAAGAATTCGTCATACAGATGTATAAGAATTATCAATCCTATATATATATAATATGAAGTAGAATACTTCTTTAATCAGAATAAAGATTCAATGTTTCATATTTTTCAAGTTCAAAGTTCTTCTTCTTGTGTCCAAATTTAATTTGGAAAAAGATCGCGTGTATTTTAATTTATTCGCGAAAGATATAACGAACAGCTAATGAAAATAGTTTGGTGAGGGATTGTGGTCGCTAGCTGTAACCACAAATCGTGAAATCTATTTTAGAAACGCCAGCTTCCATAAAAGTTGCACAACCGAATTGTTGCAATATTTACAATTGAGTTACAATTAGCGTTAACTGTTACAAAGAAACAGGAAGAGCTAAAATTTTATTATTTTACTTCTATCTTAATCACTGAAAGGTTCGTCTGCATTTAGAATCTGTTTTATGCGATATAATAGCTTCTGGTCACATTGCCTTGAAGATAGAATAAAAGCGAACAAAGCTTTATGTAATAGAGTGATACTAAATTCAATTGTCGTTACGTATAACGAACAACAGACTTGTCAGACTTGCGTATGTTTGTACAAAGAATGCTGATACATCGAAGTAAAACGAGACTTACGATAGACAACTATCCATCTATGTAGAAGACGGTAATTGTAAAAAAACGTAAAACGAGTTTCTTGTTACTTTCAAACAAATATACATATGCAGACATTTTACATTTTGACTTACAACAAAGTTGCGAGAAATTATGATGTTCTATTATATTATATTCAAATATTCTTTTCTATTAATATTCTATTAAAGAGTCAGTAGTATGTTTACTGCGTTTAGACAACAATTAATAAACATGAACTATCGCGTTTAAAATGTTGCTGACCGAAGCCATAACAGTTCGTGTTGATTTGCGATGAATTGATCTTTTAACCGCTAAGATACTGCCTTCGATCATGGTTAGCCAGTTCGATAAAAGTCGTTTAAATAAAAAAAAACTAAGATTTCCGATTTCAACTGAATTTATTTAATTCAAGGCAAACTGTCATTTTACTTGCCTCGGGATTATCATAGCGTAACGATATTTTATGATACTTCTTTGTAAAATGAAAAAGACACGAACAAACCGGCGATGTCTCAACGAGAAACTAAATCTAAAGTCTGAAAAAATCTACAAATTCGGTGCGTTTCAAGATAAGCTAAATTAGATGATTTCTTCCTATCCTTTGTCCATCGTGTTTAATCAATTTTTTTCCTATGTTCATTAACTTTTTTCTTTTACTCCTTGTACCGAATTATCACAGTCGTAAAGTCCATCTTACCTCGATTTATCCGATTTCACAGGCAAATCAAATGGAACGTTGTTTAATTAACTGCCATCGTGAGATTTGCATTTTTTTTTTATTTTTTAACGATGATTCATTATTGATTAACACGCATAACGAATAATGAATGTAATTTTTCGAAATGAAAACTCGTCCACACAAAATTATTTGCCATTAAAGTGTTATGTAACTGATAAGTTACATTGTCAGATCAATCGAATTTATGCGAAAGTTAAAGATACGTCAATACTAATTTTACGCTCGTCACAATTGTGTCATGTTTAGTTACGATAATGTTTATTCTCATTGATTTTCCTCATATTCTTTTTCCCTATTAGTATTAGATAATAGCGTTGTTCTACATTCATTTGATGAATATCGGATCGTGTAATTTAATAAATTCCGTGGTGCTTCTAATGACTGATTTTATGCATTATACGGTCTTGCGAAATCTTAATGGAACACCTTCTCTGTAAGGTAACAAGGTCTTTATTATCATCGAACGTTTATGCAACTGAGAGGTTGAATGATATTACGTAAAATCCAACAAATCTTTCATGCATGAATGTAGTACGTGAACGCCACAAATGATCTATTTTAAAGACCCACTGTACACGAGTAGCATGCGTCACATCTCCAATTGCGAGTTCTGGACACGCCTGCACGATACATTAGTTACTAATGCTAATGCTAATAATATTAGCGAATTCACGAGTTAAAAATTATAGTCTTCCTTTTTATTCTATCATTCTACGCCAAACAGGATAATCAGACGTAAAATGTAAAATGTAATCTGTAAAATTTCATTACAATAAAGTAGGCTTGTTGCGAATCACCTAAGCTTCGACATTTTAGAATTCGATCTTAAACTTTGCACGGAATAATCGAACTTGTTCCACGTCATGTAACACCATTAAACTTGAATATTAGTTAATGAAAAGGTGGGAAATTATCGTGATTTTTATGTCCAAGAAAAAAAGACATCAAGGACGAGAAAGTGATTCTAACAATGCCATGGTAAGTTCATTTGAAGCAGCGAGATGGAATTATACAGGAACTAGTGAAGTGCACAATGAAACAACTTCCGGAAATAAAGTAATATAAGAATGCTATTGAATTATAATAATTACTATTAAAGATATTGACATCGAACGAACCTCTTACCTGTTAATCATTGAAAATTATATTCCGATAGAAAATAATGACTAACGAATTGCCAATACTAGTTCACGATATTACATTATATAATTACACCGTTTATTACACTAATAACAAGTCAAATGTAGTCTGTTTCCAAACATAGATAGCTTAAAAACGGAATAAGTAAATTTGACTAATTACGAGGCGAATTATTTAGTTTGACTGAAATATTCAAATAGCCATATTCTACATATCCTGTGTTTATTAGTATTATGCAAGAGAATTTACTAATACTAATGGTATGTAGCTTGTAACTTATGAAATTCCACCAATGATATTAATTCAATCGCACATGATTTATATTTTATGGATCTAGCGATATTAAGATGTAGATGTAATTGTAGATGTAAGATGAAATTGTGGTTGATTTTTATCGAACATTGTTTGGCTTATACAAAGTCGTGTATAGTAGAAAATCCATTTATTCCAGAAAATTCTAATTACCGTCCAATCGAATAAACTCGTGATCGTTGCTTCATTTATCTGAATATGACTGTATAACAGAATATACAGAAATATACAGAATACAGAAAGTGGAAAAATCAACGAATTCGTGTTATATGAACTCGCAGATTGAACTAAATGGCGTTGTATTGTATATCTATGATTTGTTTTAAGACGTTGACGGTTAATATCTGGAAACGATAAATGATGCAATGTTTCGCGTCTTCGTATAAAGATAGACCAAATTGTCAACATTAGAATAGAAACGATACCTAGTAGTAGTAGTAATAACAAGTAGTAATAACAAGTAGTAAAGGAGGAAATTGCATTTCACAAGTGTTGACACTGTGTTCTTACGATTCTCTGGAGACAATTGGCATCCGTTTACGAAACAAATATCGGTAAATATTGAGAAAAAGGGAATTCGGTCCCAATGACCTTGACACAGACTTTGACCTATGTTATCAAGGACACACGCGTGAGCGAGAAAGGGAGCGAGCGAACGAGCGAGCAATTTTTAAGACAATGTATTTGACCGAAAATCGGCCTTCCTTCGCCTTCGTGTGGCATTGTTACGCGTTTAGTGGGACTAGATTTTTACGGGCAAGTGGAACGAGCGAGCAACACGTGTGGTATTTCTTCGAAATAAAAACTGAGAGGCGGACATGGCTATTAAGTCGGTTGCGTCCGTGTCCATAGTCACACGTATGTCTATGTATTTACGTATAGGCAGAATTACGCACGGAATGCATAAAGAGACTTATATTCGCATTGATCGAGGAAGCTATTTTAATCAGCATATTATTTACATAGCAACAGGAAATTGCAGATTAGCTTGTAAAATATATCAGAATATAGCAATAACGAAAGATCATTCCGTGACAACGCGATTTGCAACGGTTATGTTAACAATTATTAACAAACGAAGAATTGCGACGTCTGAATACGAGTCGATCATCGATTGAAGTAAAGAAGAAGAGTTTTAATTATCGCTTTTGCTCGTGTTTATCGCTGTGCTTACGTTGTAAAAGAGGTCGTCGAGTGAGAATAGATTAATTCGAGAAGAAGGCTTACATCCTTACAAAATAATTATGCTACTCGACGAAATTTTTACCCTTGGATGTTTACGTAAGTTGCAACATGTCCCACGCATTTCGGAGCTTGTATTATTTCTGGATGAAAGCAGTTTCTCGAGTCGTAGCATTCTCGATTGACAAAATGCCAGGATTCGGACTTGCAAAAATCCACGCGCGATGGCTGAGAGATTCAACCAATTCATTGCTAGGAATTATTCAAATTTTAACGTTGTTTCTCAGACGAAGAGGCAATCAGCGATCCATGGTTCCTTTGAGATTCTTGTTCCTCGTGACGAGCAAAATACGTTGCAATAAAAAGAACTTTTCTTTACGAATCTCCGCCGATTCACATATATAGAATCACGCTGCGATCGTTTTTCGACTTATTTTTTACGAAATAACGAGCAGCGGTTAAAACCTACTACGGAAGATTACTCGGGTGAGTGTTCTTTGCAACATGTGTCAACATCTAGATCGTTGAAGATGGGTTCACTTTTTACCAAATATTTGCGCTTATACTTACTGAAAGTATTTACTTTATAAGTAAGTATTCAAAAGTTATTACGCGACAAAAATGAGAAATTTGTCTTACGCGTGCTAGATAGATCGTTCGTCTTTGTCGCGTCGATGCTGCGAGCTAAAGGTGTGCGAGAATTTGAAAATTTCGGATACCCGACCCGACCAACGTCTCCACTCTACCCTGAGCGTAGCTAGACGCTGTTTAAGCGTGAATAGTCTAAGAGATAGTAAAGTACACGTACGATTGGACTATTATAACCGATAGGTAACCTTTATGAAAAAAATTATTAGACAACTCGATTTATATCAAATCGATTTATAATAAAACGGATATTCCGCTTTGAGTACGATATCTGCTTAAACAAATAATAAAATTTACCGTCTAAATGTTTATCGCGTTCGAGTAAAGCATACAGTACGTCGAGAGTACCAAATTTTAAAAACGCGCAACTTTCGAACCGATGGTTTGTTAAACTCGAAAACATTATCATCCGTACATTATAAATGATTATTCAGGGGAAACAAGAATGACGAGAACAAACGCGTCGATGGTATCCCACGAACGAGAGAAAAACGACAAAAGAACTGATAGATGTATCAACATAACAGTATGCAAATATAGAGCAGAAGAGGAAAGCAAATGGCAAAAGAATAACTGGATCTATCAGCATGGCGATACTTCAATATTAACTACTTAATTCGTAAGATAGGGTGATATAAAATTACATAAATACATAATACACGATAAATTGCACAACATATAATAGTCTTTTAGTTGTAGACTTTTTCTAATGCATATATTAATGATCATTTGAGAGAACAGAAAATCTAACGTGAAAAAATTCTTTATGCGTTTATTGCAGTGACTTGCGTGAACCTGGTAATTACAATTCTAATAGACTTAATGTTCGTTACAGATACAAGAAAAAATATGATAGAAGATCAACAAAAAGGGATTGCGAGATAGCGAAGCGAATTATCCACCAGATTGCAGTTGGATGATAAGCTAAACTCTACGAAACTTCCGCTGATAATTGTACTCTTGTCGTGTGTTATAATATATTACCACAGAATCCACTTCCTTCTTCCATTATTACTGGCGGAGTCAATGAGCTTAGGGAGATTTAAAATTGTAATCTCACAATTATCCAAGATTATAAAATATTACTTTATAGTGAATTAAAGTCCATGATCTCATCGAAATTTTCATTTTTGAAGTTTGTTTGTATTTGAAAGAACTGAAGAGTACAAATATTTGACGCTCGCACCTAAAAGTTTGCGAAGATCGACGAATATTTTCGAGAAGCGTGACATATGAAATACGAAATACCGTTGAGGTCGAACAGCTGGTTGAACTGAATTACACTTTCGTTAAAATTATCTCTTTTCCACGAACGAATCGAAGAAACTGGAAAGTATAGTTGTGAAAATTCACCGCTGAGAGTGGCAAGAATCGATGCGTTCCTTGGAAACAAACGGATAACCTCGTTTTACAAGATCGTTATAAAATTATTCGAAGATCGACCGACGAAAAGCGGGTAGATAACGCGTGATATGTGTGACCTCTTCCTTTGACCGAAGAAGAGAGACCGGGAGAGAAGAGGCATAGGAGTTCCGCGGCAAAACACGATCGTTTCTCAGTCGATCCGACAAATCATTAGGTCAACATGTGTCAGCGAGTGATATTGTTGAGTTTACCAAAAGCTGACTCGATCGATATCCAGTTTACTAATCTCACCTACGAAGTGAGGGATAGCTATTTCGGTTCGTTGAAGAAGATTCTGAAAGGGGTTAGTGGAACCTTCAAGTCCGGAGAACTGTCGGCCATAATGGGACTGTCTGGTGCTGGAAAATCAACTTTGTTGAACATCCTGACGGGATTTCAGAGAGGCAAGTGGACAGGAGAGATCAACTACATCGGGAATCAGGGAAAACAAAGTTGGAAAGAATACAAGAAGCAGTCGTGTTACATTCAACAGGACGATCATTTGCAGCCATTGTTCACCGTGTGGGAGACCATGTGGATGGCAAGTAATTTAAAAATCGGTAACAGTCTGAGCCTAAAGGCTAAGGAAATGCTGATCGACGAGATGTTGGATAATTTGGATCTGAGCAGAACGAAGGAAACTAGATGCAATCGATTGAGCGGCGGACAAAAGAAGAGGCTCAGCATCGCGTTAGAGTTGCTGGACAATCCACCAGTGATGTTCCTCGACGAACCAACAACCGGCCTTGACTCTTTGTCTTCTCATCAGTGCATCAGATTGTTGCATAACCTGGCCAAGGCCGGTAGAACTATCATCTGCACGATTCATCAACCTAGCGCGGCCACCTACGAGATGTTCGACACCGTCTATCTTCTAGCCGATGGTAAATGTATGTACGAAGGAGCTACGAAGAACACGGTCGCGTATTTTTCCAGTATTGGACTTCACTGTCCCGTGTATCACAACCCAGCTGACTATATGATCGAAATAATAAGCAAGGAATACGGAGATTTCAACGATCAGTTGGCACATCTAGCCAGCAATAAGGAGAAGTCGTGGCGATCGAACACCTCGCAGATCCAAAGTACAGAAGTTAACGATAGTACGAGCGTGACAAAAACCAGCGTACTGATCCAACCACCGTCGGAATTCGACAAGTTCTTCGTGTTGATACGACGGTTTATGATCCAATTGTTCAGAGACTGGACGGTCACCTACCTAAAGATATTCGCTCATTTCGCAGTAGGCGTGTTGCTAGGTCTCTTGTACATGGATGCTGGCCATGACGGAAGCAAGACTCTTAGCAACGTTGGATTTTTCATGGTCAGTTGTATATATCTGAGCTACACGAGCATGATGCCAGCGGTGTTCAAGTTTCCCTCGGAGATGATGACGTTGAAAAAGGAAAGATTCAATAACTGGTACCGGCTAAGAACGTATTTCGTGGCCTCGTTTATATGCAACTTGCCTGTACAGATATTGTACGCCTTCGTCTACAGTGGTACTTCTTATTTCCTGAGTGGACAACCTTCGGACGTCAACAGGTTTCTTATGTATTTAATGGTGACCATTATGATTACGCTAGTGTCGGATAGCGTTGGTGTTTTGATAGGCATTCTAACGAATCCTATAAATGGAACGTTCGTAGGTGCCATTACACTTTGTGCTATGTTAAGCCTGTCGGGCTTCCTGGTTCATTTCAGCCATATGCCACGTATTTTGTTCTATAGTAGCTACCTAAGCTACATCAAATATGGGGTGCACGCGTTCGTTCACGCGATCTACGGTTTCAATCGTGAGAAGCTATCCTGTCCGAAAATCTACTGCCACTATAACATGCCTAGCACGTTGATGACAGACCTGTCAATGACGGACGGCAAGTATTGGCTCGATATCTTCCTGTTGTTCTGCGGCTGCTTCCTCTGCAGAATCGTCGTCTATCTTTCTCTCAAGAGGAAACTCGCCAGAGCATGAAAAGATGTCTAATTTCTATCCATGATTAATTTAAACTTCGATTCCATTTGAGAATATATCTGAACGTCGACTACCGTGTGTGTATTAACGATTCGGCATTGGAAATTTTATGAGAATATCGCAAGTGTATTTTGTGACATGCGATTCGAGACAATGGTGTCGAGTGATCGTGCGAATAGGAACGAATGTATTCGAACAATATCTTTTCGAGTTTCTTTTCTCGATTAAAATATTACTTGGACGATGCATGTAATATCTATTTACACAACGACGTTTATTTTATATTAAAAGTGTACGAGTGATTGGTTTTTTCTTGCATATCCCTTTCATACTAAGATCGTTTAGTTATTTCATGACGTACACACAAAGGTCGAAAGTTAATAGAATTCTGATCAGTAGAAATCATTAAGTCTCTTTACCAACGAGACAATGACGGATAAACACATAACATTTAAGCGGTAAGTGAATTGTGCACGTTCATCGGAAGTTCAATGATGAGAAAAAAAAAAAAAAAGAAAAAGAAAGAAAGGTCATTAGAACTCAGACTTTCTGAAAACGTTGAAGATCTGTATTACAAACCTCTGCAGGTTGTCGACATTTGTACAGCTTTATAGCTGGATGGTTAATCGTATGTTTGGACGAGTATACTATCGTATACTATACTAGTCCGAATAAAAGTATGTCTTAACAGTTAAATGTATCTACATTATACATATATATGTTCTCGTATCTATGCAAAAACAGGCGAGTGATTGATTATTCAAGTAGAAACGAAATATAAAACGAATAAAATGACAAAAAAGAAACTAGCAAGTATATAATGGTTTGTGTGTCGTCTAATACTGGGAGTGTGTATAATGTACAAACGAAAGCTCGAATGAGAAAGAAAAAAAATATGTCAAGCGATGAAAGAAAAAGATCAGCGTAAAGGTTAAAAAAAAAAAAAAGAAAAAAAAAGAAAAAATGAAAATAAAACAAAAAATAACGAAGAAGCCGCAATCAGGCAACACCTTGATTATGGAAAAAATGGCACATTTATTATATTATTAGTGATAATAATAATTACTAGTGATAATTATACATTTTTTTTCTTTCTCAAACGAAATACTCTCGATACACACTCTTTCTTTTTCTAATTCACACACACGCATACTCTCTTTTTCGCTCTCTTTCTTTCTTTTCTTTCTTCCACATTCTCCCTCTCTCCCTCTCTCTCTTTCTTTCAATATATGCATAATATTCAACTCGTGCTTCATCGATGTTAATAGAGACGCGCTTGATTTTTGTTAACAATCGCATGCATGTCGGAAAAGTAGTTTATCCTCCTAAGGCCCGGTGGTGTGTCACGCGAACTAGCCACGCCAGACCTGCGTACGTTTCTCCTTTAATTACATATTATACAATAATGTCCGTAATATCTAATATACACGTGTGATTTCACTTGTCGACAATCGTGTCTGTGGCAAATAAGAGGAGTCATCGACGTTTGATCGCGCAATTATTACTAATTAATAACCCTACCCAGCTCTTCGTACGTCGTACTTCAGGAAAGAAACGCTTTCTTTTCTACTCTTTTCACCTTCCTTTTCTTTTCCCTGGTTTGCTTAATACAACGATCAATACACGATCGATGGGGAACGATTGCATCGATCCAAGTCGTTTCACCAATTTCAAAGTTCGTACACGAGGAACTTTCAAAGTCGTGATTACACGATACTGAACTTCAAACGATCGATGCAATTGTCTCGATCGATCATTCGATCATAACAGAACGAGCTTGTGGACTTCGTTTGATCGAAGAAGGGAAAGAAAGGCCAGAGAAATAAAAACAAATATACACGAAGAAGTGAACTAAAGAGCAATTTCGGGGAGAGTGTGAAACGCAATCGATACCACGACGATCGAAAACCAGACGAATTACGTTTGGCGCAGTTTTCTGCGCGATGAGAGACCTTTCGACGATCCTCGATTTCTATTGGAACCGTATTGCGCACTCTCTTCGCCTTTTACCTTTTCATTTCGACTATCTAAGACTATCATCGACAGGTGTGCCTAGCTTAGACGAGCTTACGAGCTATTTATTGTCGTTATTATTTTACATGATTACCATCGCGAATATAAGTGCGTGATCGCATCTGTTTATGCGTGTTCTCGTGCCTAGTTTATCTCCCATGAATCGCCGTTGATCTCCTATCGTAGTATAATGTACATTTTGATTCTCCTACGCATCTCTGATTTTAACTTTTCCACATTTCTTTTTTGACTCCTGTTTGCTTCCCCTTTCTTTCTTCTGGAGATAATATTCGCGGCGTGGCGCCATTTGAAATTTCAATTAGAAGTTAAAGCGAGGTTGTGCGAGTTATCTCGATCTGGCTGGGCACGATTCTCCGATCAAGAACTTGTGCATCTTCGTGCGACGTTACGAATCGACATTCATCACGCTTTGTTTCGACGGTCCTGATCCTACTTTATTTTTATTTAATCACGGCAGTAGCTCTTCCTTTGTCGCTTTCATTCGCGTGATGGTACTTCGTTAAAAGAAGAATGAAGAAAGTAACAAGAGAGATGAGAAAGTACTATCGTCTGCCAGATTCAAGAGAACAGATACGGGAGATGGATACTAAAGCAAAGAGAACGCGACGCGCGTAACAAATTTTGCTCTAGGACCGTGCGAAACATTAGATATGCCTTTGAAGAAAAATATAGCTGTGTGATACGCGTGATATGTTCTAGGAGAGGTTGATTGATCGTGTACGGCAGGACATGGTAGCCAGAGAGACGGCGGAGACAACTTTTGTCTTTAAGAGAACTGAAAAAAAAGAAAGAAAAAGAAAAAAGAGCGAAGAACAAAAAGAGACGGAGCAAAGCACAGGCACTCGCGACAATAAGTGTCATTGTTGGTTGCTTTATTTCTTGCTGTTGTTCTTTTCTTCATATTCGTTTCCTTTTTTATTCAATAAAATTTATTTAAGAGTCTAAATAAATTAAAATACATGGCAACTGGGTACACATTGTGAGTTGAGCTATATTTTTGTTCAAAAACAAAAATGTCCCCTTTAACTCTCACGAAGGATTTCCTCGGCGATCATTAATCGATAATTATAATAATAATAATAATAATAATAATAATAATAATAATAATAATAATAATAATAATAATAATAATAATAATAATAATAATAATAATAATAATAATAATAATAATAATAATAATAATAATAATAATAATAATAATAATAATAATAATAATAATAATAATAATAATAATAATAATAATAATAATAATAATAATAATAATAATAATAATAATAATAATAATAATAATAATAATAATAATAATAATAATAATAATAATAATAATAATAATAATAATAATAATAATAATAATAATAATAATAATAATAATAATAATAATAATAATAATAATAATAATAATAATAATAATAATAATAATAATAATAATAATAATAATAATAATAATAATAATAATAATAATAATAATAATAATAATAATAATAATAATAATAATAATAATAATAATAATAATAATAATAATAATAATAATAATAATAATAATAATAACCATCGCCATATTGATGGCGATAATAATAATAAAAATAATAATAGTAATAATAATAAAAATAATAATAATAATCATAATAAAGTAATTGATTAGGCGTACGTTACTGCTGTATATATACAATTATGCGAGAGATATGTTTGAACTTTTTTCCACATTCGATGGGTAAATGATCCGTGCATTTCTTTCTTTCTTTCGCTCCCTTCCTTATTTTCCCTATCGTTTACCTATACATACTGCGTTTTTACTGAAACCTTGCACTTGTGCTTTATACGATAGTTTACAATACACAAAAAAGTGGGCAACTTCAACAAGAGCCGGGGTGTACCAGTAGCAGGGATCGATCGTTTCAATAAAATCTCGACCACGCTACAAGTTTTTTTCTTACATCTCGAAAGAGAGGAACCATATTCCTTTGTTTTCTCGCTATTTATAAAAATAATTTGAAGCCGCCTTCGGGGAGTGGGAGGGGGTATAGAGAGGTGAAACCGCACACAGGCTCACGAAAGTATTTCAACATTCGTACATACCTTTTATGAATGTACTATGTGTATTATACGAAACATTTTGAGATTTTATTAGCGCTGTAACAAGATCCGACTATCATGGTTACATCGATAAAGTTTGAAACGAATCTGAATATATAGATAGATAGAAATAAAGATAGATAGATAGATAAACAGAAAGAGGCGGCTTGCGCGTTACACACGTATGAACACACATATGCACGGTCGCATAAATTCATCTATGCGAATGCGTGACTCGTCGATATAGTATCGAGAAGATAGATAGATAGATAGATAGATAAATAGATAGATAGATAGATAGACAGATAGATAGATAGATAGATAGAGAGAGAGAGAGAGAGAGAGAGAGAATGAGAGTGAGAGAGAAAGAGAGAGAGAAATTACAAGATATTTAGTACAAGTATGTATTTCGCAAAGATCAGAAAAGTAAGTAAACAATGAATTATTCATTATTTTAATAAACTCCAATATCTTCGGTGGGACCATACATTGTCCTTCTCACATACTATCCAAGCAGTACGATAATTTTTTATTAAATACATATCTGCTATGAATATCTTGTAGCTTGTATACACATTTTCAAATTGACGTCGAATTTGATCGACGTGATCATGACAGTCGGGCCTCGTTACAGTGCTAGTGAAATTTCGAAATATTCTGTATATCGCACACAATATAAACATAAATATTTTCTATGCTAAGTGTTCAAATTCCGTGAGCCAGTGTATCTACCCCTTAACACAGGATGTGCTACTGTGGCTGCGTCGTATGGTTTTGAAGTGGCGGTGGTGGGCCCTGAAACAGAGTAAATTTTGGAATTAGTATATGTTATTTCTTCGTCTATTATTCTTATCTTATAAGTGGATACATACTCTGAAGTATTTAAAAATGGGCGAAATTTAGTAATCTTTATTCTAAATAACGACAAAATGGAAAAGTCGTTCTACGTATATATATAGCGCGCAAATATCTAAGTATATAGTTTACGAAAATTTTTTAAATTCGACATTGTGAACCTGTCGGAGTAGTGTACCACCTTAATGCTTAATGAACAAATATTTACAGGCATTGCGGAGAACAGTCGCTGAGAATGCGCGTGGGGAAGAGGATGAGGGTGAGGCCCATCCTCTGCCTTCTCTTCTTCCCTCCTCTTCAAGCACGCTGCCTTTGGATTCAGGTTTCGTTCTGCAGAATCGAAATAAATTCGCTTGAATCTCGTTTTCTCTCTTTTCTTCTAGTAATCTCGAACTACCTGAACCTACCTCTAACTTGCTGTTCTAGCGTCATGATCACTTCAACAGCCATGTTGAGGATACCAAGTTTCGTCTGAGGTTTGTCTGTCTTTAGATGTGTCATGCACATTCTACCAAGTTCCTTCAGAGCCTCGTTTATATCTCTGATACGTATCCTAAAGAAACAAATGTCGATTATAACGCTAAACTTTGACATTAATACTTTTTCTTTCGAGAACGATTTCTGTCGTGTCTGTCTAGTAACATTGGATAAACTACAATTCGTCAACCCTTGGCAAACGCGCTGAAGTATTTTTATTCTTTATGTATTTCCGCTTTACGTTCGACATTGAAATTGATATCATTAATAAATAGCTTGTTCTCAAAAACTATCGTTACAGGGAATGTCATGTCAGAACATCTTTTGTACTATTTGAGAAAACCAATAAAATCAATCGTATTATTATTATCGTGGTTATTATTACACCCAAAAAGTTAAAACGTTACCATTTACAGCGATTATGCGATACACCGCGATAGTATTTTATCGCGAAATAATTAAAAGAAAATACGCATGGAATGAAATTTCACTCGCGATTGCCTTTAAGGGTTAATCATTCGGTTAAAGTTTCTCTCTCTCTCTCTCTCTCTCTCTCTCTCTCTCTCTCTCTACAATAAAATTTATCGTTGTTGTAGCCGAATCTTTAAACTACTGGGAAAAGAAGACGCAAGAGAGTCATTTCTAAAAGGACACAGATTTTTCTACATAATAGCACGAGAGCCTGACTATTCGGAAGATTCACACGGAACTTTGGTTTACGAACCGAACACGGTATTACGATCGCTTTTTTGCTTCACATATACATAGAATACGGGCCAAACTGTCCTCGGATCGCTTGACGCGATATTTCACGAGGAATTCACTGCACAATTTCGTCGATTCTCTTACCTTTCCCTAGCATTATTAGCCTGCCGCCTCTCTTTCTCCCTTTGCGCCTTTACGTCGGGATCATCATCCTCGTCTTCGGCGCTCGAACAACAGTTGCGCAATAACAATACTCAATTAATCACCTGACGTGAGCGAGACATTGTGTCCTAGATCGAGCGCATGATTTCGACAGCAGTGAAATCGACGATTTTCAATTAGCCAGGAAAAACTGATACTGACAGAGCGATCGAAAAGGGAGAAAAATAATTTCTACGAAGAAATCTCAATTCTTGATTTCTCGGACGAATCTATACGACTGCGATACGAAATGATTTTGTTGGCTGAACACGCGCAGAGCTATCTGATCGACTTGTGGTTATGGACAGAAATCAGGTTTCCATTCTCGAAGGCCCGTATTCTTTGCACAGAGAACAAACCAGTGGTAAAGAATCGCGCGGAGAGAAAGATGCGGATTTAACGCGCAGAGCTGAGTTCGTGCTGTTACCTAGAACATTTAGAATCAGATGATTTCTAAGGAAAGGATGGTACAGTGTGTGATCGCTAGGATAGACATTGAAAGGAAAAAGGGTGATCTTCGAACGATGTGGATTCTGAAAGAAACGAATCTGCATTATACACAAGAGGATTCCCGATGGATGATACGATATAAAGAGCGTAGAACTCGATGCAACAACGTTCAAGTAATATAATGCAGAGCGTAGAAATGTGCTTTGATCTAAAAAAAAAAAAAAAAAAAAAAAAAAAAAAAAAAGG